ATCGAACTCATGCAGAAGTGGCTCAAGCTTCTCAGTGCTGCGCTTTAAGCTTTAAGCTGCGCCACCAGAGAGGCCCCCCCTCTCTTTTTTTAACCAATTTGAGCTGCTATTTTGTCCCTTGCAATTACAAAAGTACTTAATTCTGAGGACTAAAAAGAAATAGCATATGGAAATGTCTCTTCCATATTTGACACTCAATAGGTGAAACCGATTTTACATTCTACCTTGCTTTACTTTCTGAACAAGGCTCCACATTTTTCACTTTGCACTTGGGCTTCACAAATTATATAACTGATCCTGACATCTTCATTTCCAGGTAAGAAAACTAAGGTTCAGAGAGGGAAAGTAAGTCACACAGCAAGAAAGATTAGAGCCAGGAATTGAGTTCTGATTCCAAGGCCCAAGTTTCCAATATCTTTGTGCCAGAGCCTGAATAATCCTCCATGTTTGGGTGACACTTTACGTTTACAAAGTCCTGCCTTACACTCGAGTGCATATAATTTTATCCTCACACCAACTTAATTTTTAAAATTTATTTATATGCTCAGAATAACTTTAGAAGCAATGGTTCTTTGGTGCCAAACAGAAGGGATAAAAAAGAAAGAAAAGAAAAGAAAAGAAAAGAAAAGAAAAGAAAAGAAAAGAAAAGAAAAGAAAAGAAAAAGAAAAAAAAGGAAGCATATTGGCAGGTGAAGTTATGAGCTGGCTCTTGGAAAGGACAGAAGCTCCGGAGCAGGAGCAAAGGGCATAGAGGAGGATCCATCCAGGCATTAGATCCCCTTAAGGTCCTGGTTTCCTCAAGAGAGAATCTGACTGGCTGAGTCTGGGTCATGCACCACCCACTGGCATTGGTGGACCCCAAATTAGGCGGGAAAAGAGATGCCCCCCGAAGAGAAGAGAACCAAAGCATTGGGTGTGAGGGCTGGGGGTGGGGTGGGCCACATGCCCAATTTGCAGGCGAGGAAAGGGAAGCCAAGGGAGGGCCGGAGGGGCAAGGCCACGGAGCCTCGCCTTGCCTCCCGGAGCAGCAGGCAGGGCCGGCCTCAGGCTCCTGTGGCTGTGGGACCCAGAAGAGGCCTCCAGGGCAGGAAACGCTGCATTCAGTCCTTCCCATCCTGCCGCCCTGGACAGAACCCCCCTCACATCCTGCCAGCCCTCTGCTCCAGTCCTGTGTTTTTTAAGAAAAGCCAGAAAAAGAAAGTCTGTTTTTCCAAGCTGGAAAACCCTGTATGGATCAGATAAAAGACGCCGAGGTCTGGAGGCGACCTGAGGGGGGCTGCCGACAGATTGGCGGCTCCTTTCTGCAGGCAGATCTGAGGGGCCCATTTACATGGGTGCAACCGGGATCACCTACTCCAGCAGACCCTCACTTTGAACCTGTGAAGTAAAATAAAAAGAGCCTTTGGCGTTTTCCACAGAGGGTGTTTCTACAGAGGGCGATGACTGGAACAAGGAAGGGACTTTCTGGAACCCAAGGGCCATGGTTCAAATCCCAGCTCTGCCACTTACTGTGTGGCCTCAGGCAAGTTATGTAACCTCTCTGGGCCTCCGTTTTCTGGGTGTGCCCAGGTGACTGGTGACTGGTATCTGATGTGCAGTGAGTGTCCCCGATCGGATCTCACCACGACCCCTTCACAAAAGACTGTGAAGGGGAAAGGGGACAAGAGGGGGTGTTCAGGTCACCTCAGAGACAAAGTTGGGTCTGAGAGCTAGTTGTCTGAAAGTGCTAGCACTCCATGGGGTGTCAGTGGGGCCCTTAGAAGCCTCACCCTGTGGGACAGGGCCCTGGACTGGTGATGGCACACGGGTGAATTGACGGTGGGAAGCCCATGAGGATTACAATTGAGATGAAAAAATGCAGAAAATGAAGAATGATGGAAAAAAATTAAAAAATATAAAAATAAAAAATAAAGACAGTAATAGCCAGCTAAGAAGGTTAAAGAAGGAGAAGAAGCCCTCACCCTGCCAGCTGATCAGGTGGGCCTTTCCTAATTCCTGGAGCCCAGCAGCGGATGCTTCACCCGCTGGCCTGGGCCCTGCCCGCACCTGGATCTGGAGCTGGAGAACAGGCCAGTTTCACTGCCTGGTGCTCTACCGGTCTTTGCAAAGTGAGTTTTCTCCACATGCTCTGGACCGGGCTGGGCTTGAAAATGGCTCTGGCCAGGAGGCTGCAGAGGCTGCTGCTGCGTCCGTCCCCACCCTCACCCCCACCCCCAGAGAGCTTGCTGTCCCCGCACCCTCCATAGCCACCGTGAGACTAACCTGAGCTAGTACACAGCAGCGTGAGAAACACCCTGGACTAACAGTCAGCTGTGTTAGTGGGAGTGCGCCCCTCAAGGTCCACAGGGCCTGCCCCACTGGCACAGCCAAGCATACAGGCCTGAGCCCAGCTGAGACCCAGAGGCCCGGACCGCCATTGACTTGGCAGCAATAGTCAATTTTTCTTTTTTTAAAGAGTGTTCTATGTTTTGTTTTTTTTAAGATTTATTTATTTATGCATATAGAAATGGGGTACAGGCCAGAGGTCCGGGGCAGTGAAAGGACTCACCAGAGACAGAGTGGGGAGCAGAACAGGCAGATTGATGAAGGACACTGCTGAGGGGAGCAGCGGGCGGGTCAGGGGAGGTCTGCCGTGCCATGTGGGTCACCTCAGAGTCTGGAGATTGAACTTGTACTGAAGCCGCTGCGGCCAGCTTGCAGGACTACGTCCTAACCCGTTGTACCACCAGGGAGGGTCCAGCAATAGTCGATTTTTATTTAAGTCACAAATTGCTCTGGAGTCCTAAAGGTCGGCATCGAACTTCCAGGGGTGAGACCTGGGTGTTCCCTTTGAAGGTTCTAGGAACCATTCGTCACCTCTTCCACCTCTGGTGACGCCAGGCCCTCCTCAGCTTGCAGCCGTATCTCTGTGCTTTCACTGCTAAGTCACATACCTTCTCCCTTCTGTGTGTCTGTTTCCTCTTCCTCTGCTTCCTCTTAAAAGGACACAGGCAATGGCATTTCAGGACACTTCAGGATAATCTCTTCAGGATAATCTCTTGACCTCAAAACCTTCAACTGAGTCACATCCACAAAATCTTTACCACATATGGTAAGACTCATGGGTCTCAGAGATAAGGCCCTCAGATCTCGGAGGTTGACCAGTTAGTCCACCAACTAGTCATGTCACTTTGGGCACATGTGCTTCTCTGTGCTTCAATTTCCTTACTGTACAATGAGTCGTCCCCTCACTGGCTCTGAGGATTGGAGACATTGAGCTTGTCAAAGGGGGAGCCCTGATGAGGGCTTTGTCAATGTTGGCCTTTACGATGATGAAGAGTCTTTAGTCCATGACTCAAAGCCCCACAAAGACAGTGTCTTCTTCTCTGTCCTGTTCCCCACTGTGTTCCCAGCACGAGCCAGGGCACCTGCACATAGTAGGTGCTTAGTAAATATTCACCGGATGCCTGTGGATGGATGCTGTGCATGACTGTGACTCTAGGCAATCATTTCTCCTCTCTAGACCTCCATATCCTCCTGCCTCCCTGAAGGGATCCTGGTGTGGTACATTCTCTGCCTGGAAAGGTTGTTATATCTGGGTAGAAGGCTCTGGGCTCAGGGCGGCCCGACTGCAGCTGCTTTTTCTCTAAGTCATCGGATTTCTCAACTTGAGGCCAAGTTTGTTGGAGATAAGGTGGGGGAAATGCTGACTTAGTCAAAGTAAATACAGCCAAGACAATAGGGCTGAACTCCCTGGAACTTTCCAGCAGCATGTCCTAGTGCTTAGCACCTTCCAGGAAAACAACCCAAAACCAAGTGGGATGACCCAAATCCTGGCTTTGTGGTGAGAGCTTTCTCGAGGCAGCATTTACTCAGATCCTCACAGTCCAAGTGGAGAAACTGAGGCCCAAGGAGAATGACGACCATGTCCAAGGTCACACTGTGTGACCTCTGCCCAACGATGTAGAGGCCGAGAGGTTTTAACTCCCTGCTTAGCATCTGTAGGAACCAACCAGGCAAAGGGAGCAGCATGTGCAAATGCCCGGGGTGAGGGACTCGGCACACAAAAAAATTGGGACAGTGAAGAAAGGACTTTGCATGCAACTCTGAGGGGAAGGGAACCAGCACTGATGGTGTCAGGAGGAAAAGCAATGGAGTCTGGGAGTCTTTTCCCAAGTGTGACCCATGGACCATCAGCATCAGACTCACAAACAGTAGCCACAAGGCAGACTATCAAAGCACAAGTAGCTGGGGTGTGCCACAGAGGCTGCGCTCCAACTGCCCTCCCCTCCCCCTCTGGGGTGACCTGACCCTGCCCATCAGCAAGTACAGAGATGCTGGGTAACGTGTCAGTCAAAAAGTCTGGACTCCGACAAACCTGGCTCTGCCAGTTGCTGTGTGACGTGGGGTGAAGGACTACATCTCTCTGGGCATCAGCGTCCCCTCCTCGGCGATGGAGACAATCTTCGTCATGGCCTCACAAGGTTCTAAGGATCCAGGGAGAGAATGCGCATGAAAAGCTCAACACAGATCTAGAACTTACTTAGTGTTGGGGAAATGTCGATTAAGGGGCTGCAAATTTGTGACAGGGGACACGGAAAGAGGGGGTGAGCGTGGAGGTGAAAGACCAGTGAGGAGACCACGGCAGGACTCCAGACCAGGGGCTGTGGTAGGGCTGTGGAAGTGGGGACCCCCAGGGTGTTCTCCTTGCACAACAGCTCTGGGCACCATTCCTGGACGCTGCCCTGTGGAAGATGCTGGCGTGTGCTCGGGATGGTCTGGGGTTAGGGTGATAATAAAACCTCTTTAGCAGCTACAGCAAACACAGGCCAGACCCCACGATCTTGATCCGCAAGGCAGTCCTGCAATGTGGGGGTCACTGTAACCAGGGGTTTCTCAACCTGGACACTATTAACACATGTACTGGATAATTCTTTGCTGTGGGGGTTGTGCAGCACCCCGTAAGGTGTTTAGCCCTTACCCAACAAGACAGCAAACGTCTCCCAGACACGTCTGATAAAGTCAGATGTCTCCCGGGGGCAAAACCACTCCTGCTTAAGACCTGCTGCAGGAGCGTCGTTTATAGGGGACGAGGGGAAAGCTCAGGGCCAAGGCCCCTGCCCCACAATCACACGGCTAAGCAGCAGCAAGCTTCAAAGGCAGGCCACACAGAGCCCAGCTGTCACTCTCTGCCATGAAGGAGGCCAGACCTGTGCGGTGGCCGGCCCCGACTGTCCACGCGGAGGGCTTCGCACAGCAGTGTGGACCGAAGGCTGCCTGTGCCAGCTTGCATTGCTTAATGGAGGGCTTCGGAGCAGGGGTGGGGATGGCTTAGCTGGCACCATCACCACCACACAGCCTCCGCTAGAGGTCCGGCAGACTGGCCAACCGGAGGGGCTAAAGCAGATTGGGTGCCAGGAAGGACCAAGATGACGCCATGGGAAGAGGCTGTGAGGCTTGAACCTGGTTGCCAAAAGCTTCCCCAAAACATTCCTTAAGACCTTCAGGCTAAATATTTATGCTGTGAATTCTCTTTTTCGTCTTGTGTGGGCAGATGAAGGTTTAGAGCTGGGTCCAGCAGTTTGGGGAGACGAAACCAATTCTCCTTTCCAAGAGAAGGATCAGGGGCAGAGGCCGGTTGTCGGGAGAAAGTAGCTGGAGGCCAGGAGTGAGTGTCCGTCCCCTGTGGCCAACAGAGTCCTCTGCAGGCCTGCGTGGAGTTCCAATGCATTTTTGTTTTCTTAGATGTGGGGTAAAATGATGTTTCTTTTGCCCAGTCCTGATCTTTTTCAACATGGCAATTGGAGGTGAGGGAACAATTAAGTAAAAAAATAAATAAACACGGGCCTTCCCTCCCTGGTAGTGCAGAGGGTTAAAGTGCAGCACTGAGAAGCTAAAGCCACTTCAGCACAAGTTCGATCCCCACCTGACCCAGAGGTGGCCCACAGGGCGCAGCAGACCTCTCCTGACCTTCCCGCTGCTCCCCTCAGCAGTGGACTTCATCGGTCGGCCTGTTCTGCTCCCCAGCCTGTCTCTGGGGAATCCTCTCACCGCTCCTGTACCCCAGCTCTGGCTGTACCCCAGGTCTGTATGCGAAAGTAAATAAATATTTAAAATAAATAAATAAATAAAAGATCCCTTCCCCCATTTTCTCATTCTGCCGCCACCCTCCCCTTCTTGGGAAAATCCCACTCCTGGGAGAGTCAGGGTCTAAGATTTGCTCAGCAACAACAGTTCAGGGCTTCCATGGCCTCTCTCTGCACAGGCCCCACTGAAGCAGGAACGGAAATACTGAAAACCTGTGGTTTCCCTCCAAGGCCGAGGCCAGTGGGGATCGTGACTGAGCATTCCTGCGGGGCAGTCAGCCATGAGTCCCGACCCCACTGCGGACATGGGTCTCCTCAGGGTGCCCCCGCCCTCCCCAGGCCTCCCGTGTCTGCACGGCTCTCCACTCTCCCCGGCAGTCGGACGTTCTCACCGCAGCCGGTGTCCCTGAGCTCCAGCGGGTCCAGGCGCCCGCCGTCCGTCCCGCATGTCACGCTGCCATGGTGACACGGGTGTCACCTCCATTTTACAGGCCTGGAAACTGAGGCTCAGGGCGGCTAACCCTTTGCCCAAGGTCCTACAGCAGGGAGGCAGGGTGGGGCCTGCACGCAGGAGGCCTGGCTCCAGGCTGCCAGGCGCCACCTCCCCGCCTCAGCCGCCTCCCAGACCAGCGCCGGCCCCTCCCAGCCTTCATTGGCGTGGCCTCAGGGTGCAAGCAGAGGTCAAGAGACAGCTCCACCAGGCGCCCCTGCCCTGTTCCTCACCCCTGCGTGTCCACCCCTCTCCTGATTGAAGATGACTAGCCAGGGCTCTTGATGGCTCACTTTGGCCCAGAACCACAGCGTCAGCCAGGAGGCTCTGGTGAGGCCGGTGGCCCAGAGCGGCCCACGGTCAGTATTCAAGAAATACTAGACGAAGCCCGTCTGGATCAACTACCAAGTTAACGTCACTTATGAGTCAGATGTAGCCCCATCACTGTCTCTGTGACCCAAGAAAATCATATTCCCTCCACGAACCCTTCTTCTCTTCTTAATAAGGAGGCGCTGTGAAGCTGCTGGCTCCCTCTGCACTCAGGGAACCCGCAGGGAAGGTCTGTTTCATGAAAGGATGGAATCAGAGCTGGGGTCATTGAGGCCTGGAACTCCAAGGGCTCTGACCAGAGTCAGAGATGCAGAGTGGGCTGGGTGGAGACTGTGATCGCTATTACTCAACGCAGTCACCAGCTGCAAGATCTTCTATTTCTCAAGAAAAGCTAGAACTTTCCAAACTTTTGAGCATTGGCAACTAGTCAAAAACACATAAACACATGTGTGAGACAGAATGTGGCTGCAGGTTGTCAGTGAGAGCCCAGATAGATGAACATGACCTTTTGCACCGCAGGTAGAGATGGAGGCCCACAGGGGCCAGGTGCCCTGCCGGATCATACAGCGCGGGAAAAGAAAGTGAGAGAGTGACCTTCTCCCCTTTCTCCCCTCCTCTCAATTTTCTAAGCTCCAGGAACAGGCTGGCTCATTGGGCCCTGAGCCCGAGAGAGGGAGGGTAGCTGTCTCCTTGCGTGTCTGTAAATTCCAGGAAGAGGGAGGTTATGATAACTCTGCCCACTCTGTCTGGACCAGTGTCAGGCACCGAGATGCAAGGAATCATTCCAAGCAACAGGCTGGCCTTGGAAGGCAGCACTGGGAGGGGCCAGGGTGGGCACATTCCTCCCTCCCTTCAGCAAGTGGCATGGAAACCACGTAGCAGCCTGGCAGAGCTGGAAAAGGGCAAGAGCTTGCTTCGGTTCCTCCTTGGAGAAGCACACGCTGCCACTGAGGCTGGGACTTCTGGCCCAGCACGTCTCTTGTGGACAGACACCTTTCTCACTAGAGCGCAGATGGCTTCTCCTCCCCCCCCCCCCCAAGGAGAGAACGGGGAGTTGCTGTTCCCTCCTGTCCCCGCAAGGAAGGGGCAGCGCCCGGAATTCCCCCCCCCCCCCCGACAGCCTGGCTCCCTCTTCATACTCCCCCAACTCTGCCCCAGTCACAATGGCTGCCCTGCTGTGCCTCGAACACACCAGGCAGCTCCCACCACAGGGCCTTTGCACGTGCTGTTCCCGCCTCCCAGGGCACTTGGCCCCATTCCCCATAGGACTCAGGTCCTCACCTCCTCAGGCCTGCTTGGATGTCTCCTGCTCTGTGACACCCTCCTGCTTGTTCACCCTGCCTAAAATTGCAAACCACCCCAACATTCCCTATCTTCCACCCGGCTTCTTGCCATAGCAAATCATCTCACTGTGGCGGCCCACACAGCGCAAAGGTGTTTTCTTTCAGTCCCAGAGGTTAGAAGTTCAAGCCCTCCCCCTAGGCTAGAACCAAGGTGTGGACGGGCTGTGTTCCTTGGAAGGTTCCAGGGCCTTTTCCTGCTCCCTCGGGCTGCCTGTGTTCCTGGGCTCTGTCCTCCATGTCTGAAGGACAGTGTCCGGCCTCTCGTCCTCCCGTCCTGGGGCTCCTCCCTCCCTTCCGTACTTAAAAGTTCCCTTGTGACTTCATGGTCCACCAGAGAACCAGGACCATCTCCCCAGCTCCAGGTCAACTGATGAGCACACTTATTTCTCCTCTGAAGCTTCGCGGTGTCCAGGCATTACGATGTGAATGAGTCCCCTAGAAAGGCTCGAGGAGATGTGGGTGACTGTGCTTGTAGCTTGCACTTGTGCCCGGGGCCTGGTGCTGTAACTGGGGCAGTGGATGGAACTGATGTTGCAGAATGTCCTGGCTGAAGGAAAGGGAAGCATGAGAGGAGATTTGGGGGGTCCTCCCTTCTCGCTGATAAGGAGGTCAGCGCAGGATGCAATATTCCAAGGGCTGGTGAGCCAATAGGCCCCAGTCTTGCAAACTAACCAGATAACTTCCTGCTCTGTCATTAGCTTCCCGCAGAGAGAAGGGGCTGTGGGTGGCTCCCCTCCCTCTTTACTTAGCTCAGCCCATTCCTGGAAGATACCAAGCTTCTCATTTCTCTGACAGGCCACAGGCCCGTGGGGGCGAGCCCCGGAAAAAAAGGCCTGGGGTCTGGGTGGATCAAAGAGAGGCTGACCCCGCCCCTGAGCCCTCTCCACATGCTCCTCCAAGCCCCAGAAGCTTCCTCCCCTGTGCCACGGGGTCGAGCTGGGTCCCGGCACCTGCCAGGCCAGACTCCTGTCAGCCGCCAGCTGCATCAGGGGTTCAGGGGTCTCCCGATGAGTCATGTAGCATCCAGGCTCTCGCCACCCCAGGCCTATGTGTCCTTCCCAACTTCTAAGGAGGCAGGCGCTGGGCCCAGGTTTTCTCATGTCTGAAAAATGTTCGCCCAAAGGATGTGAGCAAAGGCCTGCTGGGAAGGAGGCAGAAATAAGCGACTTCTGAGCCAGGGGAGAGACGCTCAGCCACATCTAGCTGCCAGTGGAGCGCTCGGAA